CGCCTACCTCTGCAGAGCAAAGGGCCAAGATGAGAACTGTATAGTCATATGTGTGCGTGCATATACACACACGCACATGCACACAGACACACTCATGCATTCACGCACTCACACACACCAAGATCTGACAGTTGTAGCTGGATAGGGGAGATTCTGGGAGGGTGAACAGAATCCTGAGGATGTCAGGATGAAGAAGCCATAGGAGCATGACCTTACAACTTCAAATTGATGTCCATGAGTCAGGAGGAATTGAAGGATAAAGGCAAGACTACTGGGGTTTCAGCAAAGGTAAAGATGGCTGGGTGGTGAGATGAGTGGAGAGAGTACCTGTGTCATAGCCCCGAGGGAGTCCAGAGATGAAACTATGGGCCCCAGACTTTACTGCAGCAGCTGTGATTTCCTCCATAGTTGGCTTCTGGGTCAGGCCATAGGCAATATTTTCTTGAAGACTTCTTCCAAATACCTGTGGCTCTTGTCCCACTGCAGCCACCTGAGATGAAATATGATGAAGAGTCATAGAACAAGGCACACGGGAGTATGGTTATCTGGAGATCGAAGACTCAAAATCTTTATTGAGAACATGTCACAAAATCATACTACCTCCCTCCTGACCACACCACCGTCTCCACCCAAGGTCTCTTATCATTCCCTAACTCCCCTTTCAGAGTGCTCAGTAAGAATGCTCTTCTTAGTTGATGCTCCCTGCCTTCCTTCATGCCACCTTCTTGCATACCTGCTTGTGCAGGTAGCGGTGCTCATATTGGGGAAGTGGCTTCCCATCCAACAGCAGCTGTCCCCCGGTGGGCTGGTACAGATTCTGCAGCAGGGCAGCCACTGTGCTCTTCCCAGACCCATTGGGTCCCACCAGCGCCGTCACCTCGCCAGGGCGTAGGGTGAATGTCAGCCCCTAGAGGCCAGAGAAGCACACAATAAGAGGCTACCAAGGCCTCTAACCTAGAGGGTGTTATTGCCTTGTTACATAGCATGATGTCTTACCCCAGAAGAAAAACAGGGAAACATAGCAACTCCTACCCTGCCACATGCACAGATCTCTGTCTGGGTGATGCCTCCCCAAGGAGTAGAGATAGAAGATGTGGCAAAGACAAGGGCAGACACCCAGCACCACTATGCCACACACTTGATGTCAGATACCACCAGGAAATGAAAAATCACATTCCAAATTACAAAGGAGAAGGAAAGATGGAAGACCGAAGACACAGATTTTCCTGCAGCAGTTCCTTGGAATGTGAGAGCACTCGCTTCGAAACCTCTTCTCCCATTCTCTTTGGAAGCCCAAACTGGGTTCTGAGTTTGGGGAAGATTTATGGAACAGACGATGCTTACCATTATCTTTAAAGGGTTAGGAAGGATATGTGCTTGGCAGTAAGCAGGCTGAAGGCAGGAAGAAGATGTAGGATGGCGGAATTATAGTTGTGGAATACAGGGAGTGGTAGGCTGTACCTGCAGCACTAAGACATCTGGACGGTTTGGGTAGGCAAAGGAGACATCTTGGAACTGGACAAGGCCCTCCAAGTGTAAGGGAGTCAACAGACCACTGGGTGGGCAGCGAGGGGTGCGGTCCAGGTACTCAAATATTTTCTCTGAGGAGCCCACAGCCTTCTGTACTCTGGGGTAGACGGAGAGCAGTACCTAGAGGGAGGTAAGAATAGTGAAAGTGAGGTGGGAGACCTAGTCTGCTTGCCAGCATTATGTGAAGTGAGAAGGGTAAAGAACGGAAAGAAATCACACAGATGGTGCTGGGCCAGAGGAAGGAATCACACTGGGGAGTGAAGGTGGAAGGACCTCACCTCCACAGCCACGGTGAACTGCATCTGGTAGAGAACAAATGTGACAAGGTTCCCACTGCTTACAGCCCCGCTGGTCACCAGCTGCCCACCGATGTAGAGGATTCCCACCTTCAGCAGCATGCCTGAAATCTATAGAGACCACAGAAAAAAAGGGACTGAGGTAGAGAAATCTGGAGGGGACACAAAGAACCACAGTCATTCACATAAAGGAAATATCAAGTCCCCTTCTCCCAAGTGACATCGGTAGGCTCAATAGGTAGACAGGAGAATGACCCAGAGACCCCAGGGAGTCTGACTCAATGCACATCATGGAAGTCACGGTTATCTTCACCACCATCACCACCATCACCTTGTCTGGGGAGCATTTTACTCTTCGCAAGAGGCTTTCATTCATGTGATGTCAGCTAGTACATCAAGAGCCCTATAAAGAAGGTTATATCACTCCATTTTTGAAAAATGAGGAAACAGTCAGCCAGGCACGGTGGCTCATGCCGGTGATCCCAATACTTTTGGAGGCCGAAGCGGGTGGATCAGGAGATTGAGACCATCCTGGCTAACATGGTGAAACCTGGTATTTCCAACCATTTCCCAGTAAAGGAGGAGTGGGAGCAGGGTCATAGGAATGGGAATGGAGTTACGGCATCTTAAGGACAAGGGAATGGGTATTCATCTTCAGGTGCTCACACTAGTGGTCCAGGAGTTGACTGCATAGGCCACAGCCTCCTTCTGGTTGAGTGTCTTTATTTCTTGCAGCTTTTCCCTAAACTTCTGGACTTCACCCTCCTCGTTGGCAAAGCTTCGAACTGTAGGCATGGCCGACAGAGCCTCAATGGCCACCTGGCTGGACTTTGCCAGAGATTCCTGCACCTGCACTGCCAACAACTGTGGAGACATGGACAAGAGATGTCACACAGGTTGGCAAACCATCAGGGACACTAACACCTGAGTTACCTATTTGGAAATTAAAGGTGAGAAGAGGCAGAGGAAAGGGAGAAAAGAGAAAGAGACACAGCTATGTCCCTTAGATACTAAAGAAATACAAGGAAAAGGAAAATGACTCAGAATGGGTTGGGGATCAAATTCTTAACGACAGATTGTGGGCAGAAGCTAGAAAACAAGACCCAGAGAGTATGAAGATTAATGTTGAGCAACCTGGGAACATGGACCAGAGGGACAGGGCGTTCCACGAAGACGAAGAATCAGTAAGGGCGCCAGGAAAGTTGGACTGAAAGCAATGTGAGAGGAACTGAGTGTGCCAAGTCTGGGAGATGAGGGTCTGTGTAGTGCGGGCCAACTCCATGAACATACCTGATACCATTTTCCCACCTTCTTGGGCAGAAGGAAAAGCAGAGGCAGGGTGACCAGGGTGACCATGGTGAGGGACACTGACCCCCAGAGCATGATCCCCAAGAGACATAGGCCTCGAACCAGGTACCACAGAAATAAGCTCAGATTCTCACTCAGAGCATCACTCAGGGTGGAAGTGTCCTCTGTTACCCGAGACGTGATGTTACCTGCAGGGTTGGGGAGAAAAGAGTGAGGTGAATCAGACAGGTTCCAAGTGATGAGAGGAACTAACAATGAGCCAGGGTGCCAGGGTCGGGGCATCAGTATGGGGTTCTAAGGAGGCTGCAGGAAACAATGTTAGGGTTCTGCAGAGGTCTGCAAATCTCAGTGCAGGGAGGATAAGTGTTAAAGAGGAAAGGCCTGACCCAAGACCTGCATTTTAATTATAAAGTCATTGATGCACATGTGAATTTCCATTTTCCTGAAAGCTTTCTGTTCCCTAAAGAACCTGTACATCCCATGCTATATACACAGGCAGGAAGAGCTTAAACTGGTCACATAACAGAGATGGAGGAGGAGGGTGCTGCTAGAAAGCATGCCAAAGTCTGTGGAGCACTCACTGGGACTAGAGTTCTAACCCCAGGTGTGTCTCTAGCTATATGTCACTGTGCAGTTTCTAGTGCTGCTAGAAAGCATGCTGAAGTGTCTGGAGCACTCAAGAGACCAGGGTTCTAACCCCAAGTGTGTCTCTAGCCATATGTAACTGTGCAGTTTCGCATTTAGGGTCTTGGCCTCAGTTTCCTTCTCTGTCAGATGAGGCAGTTGGTCTCTATGAGCTCAAAATTTCCAAGTTTGAAATTCTATGGTTTCTATCTAAGGATATATAGGAATAGATTTATGAGAAAATGCTAGATGAAAACTCTAGGTTTTTCTTAAGGTAAGGAGGACAATATTTTGCTCCTGAAGTATATCAAGAATGAGAAAGAACAACTTGTGTGTGTGTGTGTGTGTGTGTGTGTGTGTGTGAGAGAGAGAGAAAGACAGAGAGAGAGCGTATATCAAGAATGAGAAAGAACAATGTGTGTGTGTGTGAGAGAGAGAGAGAGAGAGAGAGCGGGGATGGGGGAGATCAAGGCAGATGTATGAGGATATAAACAGTACATGGGGTATAATGAAAGAGTTTCAGGAGAAACCTGTTTGGTTCTGTTGGAAAAACTCTGTCTCCTGGCGCAGGACAGCACCAAACACCTCTCCCTGCAAGTGGCTGTGCACGTGGCCCATGGTGGTGTTATAGATCCCGTCACCCATGAACTCCAGCACTGCACTAGAAAGAACCCGGAAAAAAAGGGGGTCAGGGTGTGTTCAGGGAACAGACTGAAGGTCCAGGTATCCCCATATAAGTGCATTTTGGACAGCAGCCCCAATTTCCAACTCCCTCATTTGCAGGGTGCCCCATTTTCAGCCCCCAGACCTGGCTATGGTGAGAATGGACATGAGAGTTAAGTTTCGAGTGAAGGTATCGGCTGAGCCATCTTGTAGAATCCAGTCAGTGATACGGCCCGTAAAGAATGGAATGGCCATCTCCCCTGAAGAAAGAGAAGACAGGTCACAAACAAATATTAAGTCTAAGTAGGTCAGTTCCAGTCAGACTGGTCCCACCACGCCTCCTCCCCCTCACCATTATTCTAGAGGGCATCAGCAGAAAGGAAACACTGACGTCTCAATCCCGAACCGAAATAGGCTGCCCTGGAACTCACTACCCTGTGGTTGCTCTACCAGAACTTTCAGGATTTTATTAGGAAGGCTGGAGATCATGAAGTAGAAAAGCCTCCTGTTAGAGATGAGGATGCCCCGCCCTTCGGCCCCAGAGCAAAGGATATCCCCGCCTCCGGCGTGGCCCAGAGAATCAAGACCCGGCCATCAATCAAGCCTCGAACTTCTGGCCCTCCCAGTCCAATGCCGTTTCTTCTACACTGAAGTGGTGTTCCAAGACCCATGCTAGGATTCCTTCCCCTGCTCCACATTTCCCAGAACCCACGCTACTCTACCTCACTGACAATTACTTTTGATTCCTGTCCCGGTCCCCTTATGTCCTCCCCTCCTGCCCTGCGTTCCCCTTACCAAGAGAGGAGAGGATCACCAGGACCAGGAACAGCGAGAGGCGGCGCATCTCCGAGCCCAGGCAGCCTAGAAGCCGACGCACAGGGTCTCCAGAGACGCCCTGACCGCCGGTCACCCAGAGGCTCCCGAGTTTGTGCCACAGGGCTGCTGCGGGCAGTGCTGTTGCATAACTGACGACGAAGGCGCTAGGGTGACTTCCCCAGTGCAGTAGCCTGGTGCTATCCGCGGCCCCTGGAGCTCCCCACGAGATCAACTCTCGGAACAAGGCAAGTCCCGGCAGGGCCAAGCCCAGTGCCGCAGCTAATGGCTCCAAAGCAGCCAGCCAGCCCTGGGCACCTGCGTTTTCGCTCTTGGAGCCAACTGTTGCCCTGAGGACCCCGCAGGCCCCCAGCCAGAGCACGGCCCAGCGGCTCAGGCCCACCGCCCAGACCTGGAGCAGCGGCAGCGCGGTGGGCACCAGCAGAGAGAATATGCGGGGTAGCGCGGTCCGGAGCAGCACCCAGTCGGTGAGAAGTAGCAGTACTGTCCCCAGCCATGCGAGAGAAGCTCCAGGAAGGCAGCGGCACCCGCGGGGAGCGGGGCACCTAGAGCTAGCCATTGGCACCCCGACGCCGTTCAGGTCCCGGCCGGCCCTGGGACTCTCCGTGCTCCGGCGGGGCCTGAGGCTCTGGGTACCGCGGAGTCCGCCCCTACTGGCGGCTGGGGTAGGGAGAGAGGGCGGAGCTCTCGGAAAGTCCCAGGAACAGTCTGATCCTGCGCTGGCGAGAAGCGCAGCCATTTAGGGGAAAGCGAAATCGAAAGCGGCCGCCTGCTCACTAGATACGCCTACTTCCAAAAGTGGCCTGCCCAGACTATTTTGGGAGCAAGCGTGGAAATCAGATCTGAGAATCTTGGGAGCAGCCCTGGTGCCCAATTTTCTCCGTCACGCACACTCCTCCCGCCTCTCCCTGCCTCCTGCCTTCCCACTAGCACCAGTTTTCCCACCCTAGCCTCAGGGCGGGGCTGTCTCGTCACTTGTCTCCGGGCAGATCTGCCCTATACAGGTTAGCGCCGCGCGCAAAGCCGCCGCGCAGCAAAGGCGCACAGCAGCACCCAGGCGCCTCCTGGCGGCGCCGCGAAGGGGCGGGGCTGTTGGCTGCGCGCTGCGCGCTGTCCCAGGTCCGAAACCAGTGCCCCAGGCGGCGAGGAGAGCGGCGCCTGGCAGGGATGCTGCGGGCAGGAGCACCAACCGGGGACTTACCCCGGGCAGGAGAAGTCCACACCGGGGTAATGGGTCTGGGCTTGAGGGTTGGCACAGGGGTGGAGGAGGTGTACCGGCCAGGGGACCCTGGAAGCGCGGAGAAGTGAATGCAGAGACCGACGGGAACGTAGGGAGGTAGCCTCTAGCAGCCAGCACTTGCAACCCGCAGTCAGCATAGGGTATTTCTTTTCTTGGGGGGCGGGGGGGGGTCGCCTAGCGTGTCCGTGAAGGGACCAGGCACGCGAGGCTGGTGGAAAAGGGGGTGCTTTGACTCCTAGCTGGAAGCGTCAAGGGGAAGCTACTCTAAAGCGCTTTCGCTTTCACTCTGGTCCCAGACAGTGGGGGCTGGTTAAATCAAGAAAGGGGGTTGGGGATGGTGCAAAGAGATGAAGAAATGGTTCCCTGGGTGAAGTAGAACAGCACTTGGGAGAAGGAAATATAGGCACTTATTGAGAAGGACCAATTCATCACACAGACTTTTGATAAACTTGCCACTGGGTAACTCTTAGCCCAAGCACTGATAATGGGGGTTCTGCGTTAACCAGTGATGCCCTTCCCTAGCTTGACCCAGAAAGGCTCCTCCTTGGCCCAGATGCTGCCTTGCTCCCTTCCCTGTGTCTTCCCTGCCCACTCCCATGTGCCCACTGGGGGGACTTTGCTTAGGATGGGCGCCTGGGGCAGATGGCAGTCCCAAGACTGGCTGGCTGGCTTCTGCTCTGGACTACTGCCACCACTCGTGGCTTGGGGGCAGCTTTGTTACAGAGGAATAGCCTCTAACTTGAAGTTAACCCTGTTCTTTGACCCTCTGTTCATGATAAGTCGGTCCGTCGGAAAGCACACTCAGAGAAGCGTCCTTTGGGGCCAGAGTAATTTACAGCCTGGTAAGAAAGGCACAGTGAAACCACTTATACTCTGGGAAATCTCCCCTCACTGCCAAATGAGCAGTGGCAAGTAGGAAGTAGAAGTGGAAACAAGGGATAAGAGTTAGACCTGAATTTTAGTCCCAGGTCTACTATTAATTCTGTGTGACTCTGCATAAGTCGTTTGCATTTTCTGTGACTTGGTTTCCTCATTTGAACCGAGGATCTTTAAGACTCCTTCCAACTCAGCAGCAGGAAAAATGTAGCTCTATCTCCCCTCACTTTTTCTTGATTCTTTTCTTGACCTGGAAAAGTCAACTTAAACTTCTCAGTCAAATCCTCTCTTGGTACAAATTTACCCCCCTGGCTGCTGAGATATTTATTTACCTCTTGATCAGAAATTCCATAACTGAAACTTTTATTTTAAACCATCTACGTGTTCCTTGCTGCTTCTCTCCTGCCTTGCCGCTGGCCATGCTAACCACTGCTCTCCTCGATTTTTTCCACTGTTCAGTAAATTGAAAGAGCTCACTTCTGATGAAATGGGGGTTGAGAGTGGAGGATTGTGAACAAAAGAAAAGAAAAGAAAAGGCTGACCTTGTTTCCCAGAATCATAGTCAAATGCTCTGTGTTGGGTCTAAACCACATCTGCACATACTAGGAGCCTTTCCCATGGAGATAATTTTCACTTGTGGAGCTGCTTCACTTCTACCTGTAGGAACCTCATCTCCACCTCTCTCTTTACAGTGGAGAGGATTCCACTAGGCAAGTTGGAACTCAGGGCCACAGTTCTTTCTGTGTTGTATCACAGCTGCGCTGTGGCATTCCCCTGCAGCCAGATGAAGCAATAGATAAAGTGGAAAGATGAAGGGAAAAAAGCCTGTACTGACAGTCAGCTCTGGCCTGTTACTGTGTGATCTTTGAGCCAGTCAACTTCGCCTCTCTGGGAATATTTTTTCTTCTCTAACATGAGGGCATCAAGGCTCTTCCTGCCCTGATATTCCATATTCTGTGTCTCTGCAGACCACCATCATGGCAGTGGAGTTTGACGGGGGCGTTGTAGTGGGTTCTGATTCCCGAGTGTCTGCAGGGTAAGTAAAAGTGAAGATGTATGCATTTGGAAAGAAGCTAATGGCCTCAAATACACATTTTTCTTACCCATTCATGAAAAGACTGGCAAATCGGAGCTTTGGAGGAATGGAGTTGACCTTCCCAAAAAGCCACTATGATAAGCTATTTGGTGGGCGCTTGGGTCTCTGAATTTGTGGAGGAGGATCTGGGGTCTGAATGCGTATGTGACCTGTCCCAGTAGTGTACAGGGATGAGTGTAAAGGAATAGGGTCTGAGTGGGCGACAGGAGACAGATTTTTGAGGAGCTTCTTTCCATCTGTATTTAGAGATCAAAAAGATGATTCTGTCAAGCAGATACCTGGTTTCTCATTTACCATATATTGAACTATGTTGTCTCTTCCCCCCCTCCTAACCAATTTCCTCACATGCAAAATGAGTATATAGGGTTAGGTCAATATTACTTACATTATGTTCCATAGAACATAGTTATGTTCTATGTTAATAGCATAGATTGTTAATAGCAAAGAAAAATTGATGAGGCATATTTTTCTTTCCTTAGCATTTTTTGCTTTGTTATAAAATCTAAGCCTGAAAAATAAACCTAATTTTGATTAACATCTGCAGTGGTTAATAATATCTGAGATGATTATTTGCCTCCTGCTTTAATCCAAGCATTAAACTTCATGCTATTCTCTTGTCAAATAAATTTGAGAGACATTGAATGATCACCCTCAAAAATTCCTGAGTTCTGGTTGGGTGCAGTGGCTCACATCTGTAATCTCAGCACTTTGGGATGCCGAGGTGGGCAGATATTTGAGGTCAGGAGTTCAAGATCAGCCTGGCCAACATGTTGAGACCCTGTCTGTAATGAAAATACAAAAATTAGCCGGGCTTGGTGATTGATGCCTGTAATCCCAGCTACTCGGGAGGCTGAGGCAGGAGAATCACTTGAACCCGGGAGGCAAAGGTTGCAGTGAGCCCAATATTGCACCACTGAACTCCAGCCTGGGTGATAGAGTGAGACTCTGTCTCAAAAAAAAAAAAAAAAAAGAAAAAATTCCTGAGTTTTAACTTGGTGACTGTTGACTCCCTCCTAACAGCGAGGCGGTGGTGAACCGAGTGTTTGACAAGCTGTCCCCCCTGCACCAGCGCATCTACTGTGCACTCTCCGGTTCAGCTGCCGATGCCCAAGCCGTGGCCGACATGGCTGCCTACCAGCTGGAGCTCCATGGGTATGAAGCTCTGGAGTTCTGACTCCCCACCCACTAGAGCTCCCCCAACTTGCATGAATCCCTGTACAGTGTGCTGTTCCAGGAGCTGGACACTAGGAAATGAAAGATTCTTGTTTTGGCTCTTGCTGGCACTTCAATCTGCCAGTTTCTGCATCTGTAAAGTGGAGACAATATAGTACCTTATGAGACGGTTAATTGGAGAACCACGTTATATATGCAAACACAGTTTAAAAGCTGTAAATCACTATCCTAACATAAATAATCAGGAAGAAGGTGATATCGTGACCCACCCTAATATCAGGCAGTTACCGTATGAGAAATCAAGGTCATTGGGATGGAAGTAACCTTATCTGCTTTTCCCCATAAGGGCAGGGCCCTTGCAGCCAAAAGAAAGTTATGTGGGTGGGGCTCAGCGAAAGAGAGTGAGCAATTGAAGGGTTCTTACCAGTTGGTGGTGTGGGACTCTGGTTCCCCTGTACATGTGGGAGGGAGGCTGCAGTTTGAGCTATTGCAGCTATAGTTTTCAGGGTTCATTTAGCAGGGATGATGGTAACAGTATAGGAGAGTGAGACTTAAAATTCTATCAACCTTTATTCCTAATATTTCCTTCAGGATAGAACTGGAGGAACCTCCACTTGTTCTGGCTGCTGCAAATGTGGTGAGAAATATCACCTACAAATATCGAGAGGACTTGTCTGCACATCTCATGGTAGCTGGCTGGGACCAACATGAAGGGGGTCAGGTGAGTTTCTCCCAAAGCGCTCTCTCCTCTGGGCTTCCCCACTCTCCTGTAGGGGGAGATGGAAGTCCTATGTCATTCTAGCAATGAGTTCCAAGGACACTACCTCTGAAAGTATAGTACATTTGGGACATGAGATACCAGGGCTTCATTGCAGGGTGCACAGACCACTTAATGTCTCAGTGGGAAGGAAGGGCTTGATGATTCTTTAACCTGAGGATCCCTCTCCCAGGTATATGGAACCCTGGGAGGAATGCTGACTCGACAACCTTTTGCCATCGGTGGCTCCGGCAGCACCTATATCTATGGTTATGTGGATGCAGCATATAAGCCAGGCATGTCTCCAGAGGAGTGCAGGCGCTTCACCACAGACGGTAACCAGCCAAGTGGAAGGGTACCTGGGGAGGGCTTTTAAACATGGGAAGGAAGTAGATTATGAGGAACAGGAAGAGAAATACAGGGGTGACCATTTAAGTTAATGCCCAAACTAGTACACTTTTAAAAGTGAAAAGGGGCAGGACAAATGCAAAGCTCAATGGGGCTCTTGGGCAATACGGATAAACCAGGGCTGTTCTGAGTAAATCAAATGAGGATACACAGTCACTGTAAGAACCAGTGGTGTGCTAAGCACAATGGCTCACACCTGTAATGCCAATACTTTGGGAGGCTGAGGCAGGAGGATTACTTGAGCCCAGGAGTTTGAGGCCAGCCTAGGCAAGATGGTGAAACCCTGTCTCTACAAAAAAACAATTAAAAAAAAATACAAAAAAAAAAAAGAGCTGGGCATAGTGGTGCACACTTGTAGTCCCAGCTACTCAGGAGGCTGAGGAGGAAAGATCATCTGAGCTGGGGAGATCAAGGCTGTGGTAAGCGGTGATTGCACCACTGCACTCCAGCCTAGGTGATAGAGTGAGACCCTGTCTGAAAAAAAAAAAAAGAACCAGTGGTATACTGAGGTGTGCTGAGGCTGGCTTGGGACCGCTCATGAGAGATGATTGTTAAATAGTCAAGGATTTGTGAGCTGCTCGTTAAGCTATTTGTAACTTGCAGTTGATCATAGCGGGAGCATTTACATCATGGACATCAGCAGATGCCACATATGGAAGCCTTCTTTTAAAAACACTGACTTAGCAGCACACCACTAAATATGTCTTTCTGAAAGATGAGTTTTGAGGTGAAAGCAGTAGTAGGCATATGGATGGAGGGGGAATAAAAATATTTTTGAAGCTAAGCCATTCTCTTTCTCCCTCTCTCCAACTTGAAACCCTCTGCAGCTATTGCTCTGGCCATGAGCCGGGACGGCTCAAGCGGGGGTGTCGTCTACCTGGTCACTATTACGGCTGCTGGTGTGGACCATCGAGTCATCTTGGGCAATGAGCTGCCAAAATTCTATGATGAGTGAACCTTCCCCAGACTTCTCTTTCTTATTTTGTAATAAACTCTCTAGGACAAAAACCTGGTACGGTCGTTGGGAAATGAGTGCTCAGGGAGATGGAGCTTAGGGGAGGGCGCTTCTTCCCTCCTAGATGTCAGCATACACTCTTTCTTCTTTTGTCGCAGGTCTAAAACATCTTTCCTAGAGAAAACAAAAGGGACTAAACTAGAAGTATAAAGAGCCCTATACATGACAGGTCATCACGTACTGAATGATTTTGAAGTACTACAAACAATAAAAATTCTTATTCTTGTGCCCAAGGGATGAGGATGCAAGTGAGGTGGTGGGAATCTTTCCTTTGAGGCTAAGACTGACAGATAGGCAAGACACCTGCACATATGAGGATTAGCTAAGTCTATCAGCAAACTCACATGTAAAAGAATTCCTTTCATAATGCATTCATTCACATTAAAGAGCAATACATGAAAAATGCTCAACTATTTTGGGGCACTTGTGAATTTCAAAGAATAGTGACAATAACCAAAAGAAGCTACATTTATGGCATTGGCTAAATGTTTTATAAATTTTATCTCTTAAAATTCAAACCGGAAAACCCGCTGTAATCCCTCCACTTTGGGAGGTCAAGGCAGGAGGATTGCTTGAGCCCAGGAGTTCGTGACCAGCCTGGGCAACATAGTGAGAACCCCGTCTCTACAAAAAATATTAAAAATTAGTCGGATGTGGTGGTGCACGCCTGTAGTCCCAGCTGCTTGGGAGGCTGAGTGGGAAGATCGCTTAGGCCTGGGAGTTTGAGGCTAGAGTGAGTTGTGATTGCGCCACTGCACCCTAGCCTGGGTGACAGAGAAAGATCCTATGTCAAAAAACAAAAAACAAAAAAAAAAAAAAGGAAAAGAAAAGAAAAAGAAAAACAAACAAACAAAAACACCCAACCCTATATAGGTATTATTCCTTCTATAGGACACATAGAGGTTTAGAAGGACTAAATCACTTGACCAAGGTCACAAAATAAGTTCTGAGGCTGGGACCTGGGATTTAGTTTTATTATATGCCCTTCCTCTACCACTCCCTAAAACTTCCCATTCCCTCAATCCCCATATATCATCTTGAAATCTGCAACAAATAGCCCCATACATTGGTTGGCACTTATGAAACTGTTACCAGATGACTGAGTAACTGTATTAAAACAAATTTAATTCTGCTTCTATCTTTGCCCTGCACTCCCTGAGTGACGGGAGTGAACTCTTATGTCCTTTTCTGTCAAAAGATGGTGCTGAATGATTTCTAAGGTAGTTTGCAGTTCCAACATTCAATGCCATTTTGCTAACAAGTGGGCAGTCAACAGGCATATTCAACAGAAATACTAGTAGGATCTCAGGCTAAACATACAAATTCAAAATACTCCAAAACAGTCACATCCCCCTGGAGTGCAAAGAAAAAATCTAAAATTACAAATGCCTGGAGTTGTTTCTAGCCATGATATTTAACTTATTTGAGATTTTAAAACACTAGTTTAATAGCCCATTTTTATCGCTGATCACAGGTAGAAATTCTGGGCAGCATACAAAAAGCAAGTACTCAAGGACTCCAAAAAGTAAACAAAAGCAGGTGGATTGTGAAGAGGGTCAAAACTTGGAGGGGGGCCCCTCCTGGGGAGTGGGTTTTCAGTGTTTTCCCCTTTTTTCTCCCAGTTCTGCCCTGACATCAGGCCTCAGGTGCAGAGCTGCACTACGTGGTAGCACAAGCCCTGAGTCAATAAGAGAAATACCAGCTTTCTGGCCAGAGGAACCAAGAAAAAGGGCCCCTGCGGGCGGGGATGTATAGGGGAATCTCCAAACTGAGAGTGCAGGAGGAAATTCCCTAATTCTGAGTCTGAACCCTCAGGTGTACCAGGTTCCCCCTGAGCTGCACATGCATGTGACATGCCCTAAGGGCACAGCAAAGACTTTGAGAACCTAATGAAGATTAAATCTTTTAATATTAGAAGACTTCGGCCGGGCGTGGTGGCTCACGCCTGTGATTCCAGCACTTTGGGAGGCCAAGGCGGGTGGTTCACCTGAGGTCAGGAGTTCGTGACCAGCCTGGCCAACATGGTGAAACCCCTTCTCTACTAAAACTACAAAAATTAGCTGGGCGTGGTGTCTGTAATCCCAGTTACTCGGGAGGCTGAGGCAGGGAGAATCACTTGAATCTGGGAGGCAGAGGTTGCAGTGAGCCAAGATCGCGCCATTGCACTCCAGCCTGGGCAACCAAGAGCGAAACTCCATCTCAAAAAAAAAAAAAAAATTAGAAGACTTCATTTTTCTGCATTGGCCAAATAACTGTTCTAATGCTCTTCATTCCAATAAAAAGTTTGTAGCAGCTTACAGACATAATTTTAAACAATTTTTAAAAGACGAAAACAACATTGGGTCAAAGAGAAAATATGGTTAAGAAAATAAGTGAAGCCAAGGAGTGAAACTAATGGACAACATGAATATCTCTAAAAAAAATAGTGGTGTGCTGTCTTATACTGGCTAGCAAGAGCAGACTGTAAAGTATTCAGGATTTTTGAAGACAGTTGTTAACTATTGGTAACTTGATACCACGGTGGAAGTATTTATACTATAGAAATCAGCAATGCTACAAGTCAGAAGCATTGTTTTTCTTGAGAGCCAGTTTAACAGAACACATATTTATCAGCCAACTATAAATGGATAAAAAATAATTGGCTCTGGGCCATAGGATAGTGAAAGCAAAGAAGGAAGTAAAATGAGGTACAAGATTCATAGGATTCATTTTTTAAAAGTTGCCAAAAAGCCAAAAATTATATGTAATAGTTCAAGCCACACAGAACATTTACTCAAATAGGCCATGCATCATTCCATAAAGGTAATTCCAATAAATTCCAGAGTATCAGTATCTTAGAAACTATCTATATTCTAGGCCAGGAGCAGTGGCTCACGCCTATAATCCCAACACTCTGGGAGGTCAACGTGGGCAGATCCCTACAGCCCAGGAGTTTGAGACCAGCCTGGGCAACATGGCAAAACCCCATCTCTACAAAAAATTTAGCTGGATGGGGTGCACCTGTAGTCCCAGCTACTCAGGAGGCTGGGCGGGAGGATCGCTTGAACCCAGGAGGCAGAGGTTGCAGTGAGCTGAGATTGTGCCATTGCTCGCCAACCTGGGCAACAGAGTAAGACCCTGTCTAAAAAAAGAAAAAGAGGCGCTGCAGCGCGAGCGGGGCCGGTGGGCGTGGTTTGAGACGGCGCCGAGTCCAGGCGGGCGGCAGGGCCCGAGGGGCCGCTGGCCGCGGGCAGGCGACCTGCAGCGTCCCTGGTCTCTCCAGCCCTCACTCGGGACCGCACTGACAAGACCCTCCCCTCCCCTGGGCTGGACCCCTCTCTACAGCTAGGAGCCAATGGCAGAAGACAGAACCAAACCCAGTGAGCTGGACCAAGGGAAGTATGATGCTGATGACAACGTGAAGATCATCTGCCTGGGAGACAGCGCAGTGGGCAAATCCAAACTCATGGAGAGATTTCTCATGGATGGCTTTCAGCCACAGCAGCTGTCCACGTACGCCCTGACCCTCTACAAGCACACAACCACGGTAGATGGCAAGACCATCCTTGTGGACTTTTGGGACACGGCAGGCCAGGAGCGGTTCCAGAGCATGCATGCCTCCTACTACCACAAGGCCCACGCCTGCATCATGGTGTTTGATGTACAGAGGAAAGTCACCTATAAGAACCTGAGCACCTGGTACATGGAGCTTCGGGAGTTCAGGCCAGAGATCCCATGCATCGTGGTGGCCAATAAAATTGATGCAGACATAAACGCGACCCAAAAAAGCTTCAATTTTGCCAAGAAGTTCTCCCTGCCCCTGTATTTCGTCTCAGCTGCTGATGGTACCAATGTTGTGAAGCTCTTCAATGATGCAATTCGATTAGCTGTGTCTTACAAACAGAACTCCCAGGACTTCATGGATGAGATTTTTCAGGAGCTCGAGAACTTCAAGTTGGAACAGGAAGAGGAGAATGTGCCAGACCAGGAACAGAACAGCAGCATCGAGACCCCATCAGAGGAGGCGGCCTCTCCCCACAGCTGAGGGGCTGGGGCTAGGGGTGGGTGGAGCCTTTTTAAAGTACCCTTCCCTTCAACAGCTCTCCAGCTCTGAATGGAGGAACTCTCTAGGCCATCCCCTTTTCTACCTCCTGCAGCCCATCCATCCTATTAGCCTCCCACATTCAAGGCCCTTAATGCAGGGATGAGGTCAGCACCAGCAAACTCTGGACTGGTGGAAGAAGTCCTCACCAGATCTCCTTGAAGCAGAATTAGGGATCAGTATCATTAACACCTTCCCCACCCCCTCCCCCCAGGCGGGCAGTGAAGAGAATCAGAAAACATGATTATGTGTCACTTTAATAAAGGAAATTTAGGTGTTTTTTTTAAAAAAAAAAAAAAGAAAAAGAAAGAAAGAAACAATATTCTGCAACTATACTGTAATAAAATTAGAACTTGATAACTAAAATATACTTAAAATTGTAAGTGAACAAATATATTTATCAGTAACATGGATTTAAAAGGCAGTCATGGATGGGAGGATCGCTGGAGTCCAGGAGATGGAGGCTGCGGTGAGGCATGATTGCGTCACTGAACTCCAGCCTCAGCAACAGAGTGGGACCGTGTGTCAAATAAATAAATAGCAGTTATAAAGAAAATTAACTATTTTTAAACCAGGTGGTAAAAATGTTACACATAAAATATACATATAAAATAATGTTATAATTTCAAATACATTTATTAGAACAAGAAAAGTTAAAATAAATGACCTAAAAATTCTACTCAAAACTTTGGAAAAAGAAATTGAGCAAACCTAAAGAAATAAGAAGAAAAGGAGTTAGTTATAAAGATAAGAATAGAAAGCAATGAAACAGAAATAGAGAACAAAAAGCTAGGTAATGAAAATTAACACACTTTTGATTCCAAAAGCTGCTTATTTAAAAATATTTGTAAGATATTCACTTACAACAAGGCTGATTATGGATAACGGGAGAAAAAATGAATAAACAAATACATAATGAAAAAGGGGGAACAGCTACATATATGACACAGAAAGTGTAGAGTATTATGAACAAGTATATGCTAATAAATTTGAAAACCTAGGTGAGATAGGTAAATTCCTAGAAACATTTCATCTATCAAAATTAGCACAAGAAGAATACAAAACTTGGCTATACCAGTAAGTATTAAAGCAATTTTTAAAGTTATCAATGACCTTTAATAAAAATTTATATTTTTTTAAATGCCCAGATGGTTTCACAGATGAGTTCTATCAAACATTCGAGGAACATGAAACTTCTATATTATGTATTTTTTCCAGAAAATAGAAAAAAGATTAAACCTGATTAGCTAATTTTATCAGCAAGTGTAATCTTGATTCGAAATTGAGTTGTGGAAAACTCAAGGAAAGAAAATAATAGGCCCGTTTCACCTTAAACACAGATGGGAGACAAAATAATTATTTATGAACCGAATTCAACAATATTACAAATAATAATACTGGGAGGCCAAGGTGAGAGGATCGCCTGAGGCCAGGAGTTCAAGACCAGTGTGGACAACATACTGAGATCCTGTCTCCACAAAAAATTTAAAAATTAGCCAGGTGTGGTGGTGAGCATCTGTAGTCTCAGCTACTGGGGAGGCTGACGCAGGAGGATCACTTGAGCCCAGGAGTTTGAGGCTGCAGTAAGCTATGATTGCACCACTGCATTTTGGCCTGTGCAACAGAGCAAGACCCTGTCTCTAAAAATATGTATAATAATAACAATAATAATAATGATTATGCTAGTAATGATACATCAAGATCTAATAGGGAATCCTTGGAATACTAGGGTGGTTCAATATAATAAAATATATTGTTGCTATAATTCACCATATTCATAGACAGAAAAGTCATTTCCTTTGCTCAGTCTATTAATAAAAGACATTTGGTAAAGTATATCCATTTGTGATTTTTGGAAAACAGTTAAGGAGGCAGGAATCAAAAGTTTCTTATTTTGGTAAAGGTTATATTCCAAAAAAATCTGTAACCACCAGTATACATAATGGAAAAACCTCAGGTACCCAAGACAAGAATGTCCACTATAATTACTAGCTTAACATAGCACAAAGCCTATGGGCAACATAGCAAGACCCATTTACCAAAAATAAATTTAAAACATTTTAATTAGCTGGCATGGTGGTGTGCGCCTGTAGTCCTACCTACTTGGGAGGCCAAGGCAGGAAGATTGCTTGCGCCCAGGAGTTTGAGCTTACTGTGAGCTGTGATCACACTCCTGCACTCCAGCCTGGGTGACAAAGGAAGACCCTGTCTCTAAAAAATAAAAAAATACAAATACACATAAAAATTAGCACTAAACCAACAATGACTGTGTACCATGAACTGAAAAATATTAATTTTACCATTTGCATCTGAGGTTAACAATATGTCAATGACTTAAATAATATCATATCTCTGAGAGTAATTTCTCCTGTATTTCCAAGACAAATGTTAGATAATTTTCCATTTTTTCCATTCAACAAAATAAACAGGAAATATAATTAAAGTTTTACTTGAGGATTGGGATTTAGAAAGGAAGACAGGAATTAAGAATAATCCTTAGTTCTCTTCCTAATTTTCACCTCTCTCACTGATACATATGTATTATTTTCTTTTTGTGTCTTTTAGAATCTAATAAACATGTTCTATATTATATAACAAACTAGAATATATGGATTATCTTTAGTCTTCCTTACCAAGTTCTTAACTCTGCTGGCTCTGGGGCACTGGACATACCATGTAAGAAGAAAAATGTTTTAACTCCATTGAACTTATTCAGAAGCATCGGAAATTGGTTCAGCAATATTCAACTTTGCCCAGCAATGTTTATGAAAGTTTCATATATAGAACAGTGTAAGTATGTGTAATACTGAATGTATGCTCTCAAAAACTAAGAGATAAAGTATGGAGATCCTAAACTCTGTTGACATAGAAGAGGGTGGATTTCTCGAAGAAACAGCCTTCTATAGAAAATGGCTTGTATGAATTGGGATTCTCCAGAGAAGCAGAACCAATAGGATGTTGGCAGAGAGAGATTTATTTTAAGTAATTGACTCATATTACTGTGGGAACTGGCACGTTCAAAATCTGCAGGCAGGCTGGAGACCCGGGAAAAGCTGATGTTGCGGCTCGAGTCTGAAGGCAGTCCAGAGGCAGAATTCCCTCTTCCTTGGGGGAACCTCAGTCTTTGCCCTTAAGACCTTCAACTGATTGGAAGGGCCACTTAAATTATGGAGGGTAATCTGCTTTACCCAAAATCTATTGATTTAAATGTAAATCTCATCTAAAAAATACCTTCACAGCAATATCTAGACTGGTATTCAAATGTCTAGAAACAATAGCCTAGCCAAGTTAACACATAAAATTAACTATCACTTGGCTCAAGGTGAAACTTCCAGATCAATGTGGCAGGAGTGTTGAGGAAGGAAGTGAACTCAGTTCTAACTAAGTACGGCAGCCGAATCGTCACTGAAGTGTGGCACTGGCCTTTCGCCAAGGTAACATGTGGCAAAGTTTTAAATTAGGATAGGTACCAGGCAAAAGCTGGGTGAATCGATGGAGGCTTTTGTGCCAACCTTCACAGACTGTCTGCGTCAGACTGCCCTGGATAGCATACAAAGGAAAAAAAGACAAATTACAAGCCTTTAATCCAAACTCACGACATGAATGAAAAACTGTAAATGCCTCTACAGCAGTTTTAAAGGCTATCAGTTTTAAAGGCTATCTTTTCTCCTGCAACCCAGCACAGATATGGCTGAGGGTCAAGCCCAGGGGCTTATGGTAAAGGTTATGAAGTTGTAGAAATGTTTGTTGCATCATCCAACAGCGGCTGTTGTGATAAGGCAAGACCACTGGTTGAGATAGACTGGACCCTGAGATATGAAATAGGGACATATGAGCAGACACAGAGAAGTCTGAGTGAGAACCATGAATCACTACACCCCTCTGAGGGTCCTTGCTGAAAGAAGCAGACTCACTGTATTAGTTACCTATTGCCATGTAACGAATGACACCAGCTTAAAATAACAGACATTTACTATTAGGTGTTACTGCGACAATAGGGGATTTTTTAATATGGATTGTGTGTTTGATAATATGGTATCAATTTCAAGTATCTTGGGGGTGATGACAGTATTAGGATTATGCAGGAGAAATGTCCTTATTCTTAAATCATACATGACAAAATATTAAGGATTCAAGTGGCATAATTTCCAAAGATTACTCTCAGATTGTTTAACAAAATGGTTCTTCAACAGTAAACAGATAAACAAAACATTGTCTATTCATACAACAGAGTACTACGTAAGCAATGAAACTTCATGAACTACTGAAAATGTAACAACATGGATGAATATCATAGAAACAAAATACTAAGTGAAGAAGCCAGACTTGCAAAAATACATACTGTGTGTTTCCATTATCTATTACAGTGCAGCACACCAACTCCAAACTTAATGGCTTAAAACAAAAACAATCATTTTATTATCTCTTGTGAACCTGTGAATTAACTGGACTCTAAGAACCACTGATGTAGTCCATGAACCAAAGCACATATTCACGGCAGCGGCTCCACCCAGCACCTCACACCTCTGATGTTTACTGGCTGCCTATTGGATTTGAACACCTTCAGAGTACTGTGAAATTTCCCCTACCTTTTGAGTCCTGCCTCCCTAAAGTAGAAACCAGAAAGCTCACTTCCCCTAGCCACCTTTGAAGCTAGAGCACCTAAGTTCCACCAATTAAATTCATCCACCTAAGACTTCAGTTACAAAGGGAGCCACAGGAGGAACCAGGGTGTGGGGGAGCGGAGCACGTTTTACTGTATTTATTTCTCTGGCAAAGGTGACAGAAGCAGCAACTGTCTTTTGAGGAAGCAGTGGGTTTTTTTCCTTTTTTTTTTTTAAGTGAAGTTCCTGAAACAGAAGTGGTTTAGGAGGTGTCTTCAGTGGTGGCTGCGGCAACGTCCAGGTGCTAACAACAGAACAAGCAGCAGCGTCTAGAAGCCGTGGGGCAGCAGCAGTGGTGTGGCTCATCAGATCTGCTGTCTGCGTGGTCTGAGCCGTTACACACATGTGCCTCTCATCCGTAGTTCCAGCATTTCCTCTCTAAAAGTCTGGTTCTGAGAGAAATTTCTTTGGTAGACTTTTCAAAGTTTTATCAAACTCAAAGAAGGAACCAGGAAGAATACAAGAGCCTTGATCCAAAGAGTATTTGAAAAACAGAGCTGTATCTCTCAGTGAGGAAATAATTTCTAGGCTAGAGATTCAAAATGGCTAACGTACTAGAGGGCAATAAAATCATAACCTTGGCGTTATCTTCTTTACCAGAGAAAAAGAGAAAGC